CGGAGTTTCCTCTATAATTAGACGTTGATAACGCCGATATTTTCGTTCATTCGCTGTCAGCCGACGAACTATAAAACGTGTGTGTCACTCGACAGCTACACAATGACGCACTTCCGAGGAAACAACGCTCTCGTATCTAGGTAAACGCACCGGGAAATCTCGACGCGTGACTTTGAAAACTGTGGCCTTACTTCGCTCTATTAAAAACTTCGAATGGAACTTTTTGTAAACATGTCCAAATTCTATTGCGTCCCACAGTCATAGATACGCGTGGTATGGTAAAAATAAAATGTCTCCTCAAAGCATTAAGAGGTTGTTCACCCACTATTTGGGCATCGCCCTCCTCCCTTCAGGGACTATTTGTCAAAGGATACAGTCTTGTCGTCGTGCTTTTACTTTCTCATTTTACGTGTTAGATACTCGTAAGTTGGATTGATAGATGTCACCTGTCCCGAAACACGATAACTCTACTGTCTATATAACAATAATTGTGTCGCATTTTAAAATTGCTTCATGTAGGTAACTTGTTGTACATAAAGAAATGGAACATGATTTAGAATTAGTTTTTTACTACTCTACTCAGGTCGTGGTGTCTGCAGTCTGTAGGAATTTATTTATTTTTTAGGTTGACGTGCACGCATTTTGTACATTAATTTTACTTGCATAGAAAAAGTAGTATATTGTTAGTGAATCGAATTGTACTGTTGACTATTTACGCTGTAGCTACTGAAAATTATTTCATAGTCCACTAATTATATTGTCGATACTAAAAATGTATTTATTGTAAAATATAGTCAGAGCTATATGTAATTATAATTGTCTAAAAGAATGCAATCTTAGGATGAAAGGTTGTACATTAGATTATGCGGAAACCACGTGTTTTTATCTTAAGCTCATACCTATTACATAGTTATTTAACGTAACACTGATTGTTAATTTATTATATTATTACATATTCTATCCGTCATTTACCCCAATAATATTATTCTGCGGAACTTTAGACAAAGCTAGTAAAAATAGCAGTCTGTCATTTACAGAAGTAGGTACATACTTAAACACTGAATACTCGTTATGTTAATCTATAAATAAAGTTGGCCCTCGAATTTACACAATAATAAACAATCTTACAACTAAATATACATTTCGATGCACTTTCCGATAATGTGGCTTAACCGCTACATAAGCGTTGCATAATAATGTGCAGCTCACAGTAGTACACAGTACAGACGCAGGCGCAGCGGCGCACACCGCCATATCACACGTGGATGCACACATGCATACAAGATAAGAGCTCGGTCAATGAACTTGCATGAGAAATAGCGCCTGAAATTAGTATTAATCTTACAAGGCAGCGTCTTTCCTGTATAAAAATAAACAATATGACTTTCTTGTCCGTGGATAAAAGATCTAAGTTAAAAGGCATTTAATATCAATGGAAATCGAGTAATCAGAGATCTCAGTCAATAAGCAATCAACGTAAAATGGCAAAATGCGACGTAAACAATAGCTAGTTATTGTTTAGAACTGCGGGCTAGGCAGCGTGAGGCGGAACGAGCTGTGATCTTGAATGGAGTGAAAGTGGCTACGGATACTTCCTGACACGTGGAAAGTGAACGCTCATGAGCACCCAGACACGGCATGATGCAGCCCTACCTAGCGCCTAGCTCACAGATAAACATCTGCCGTGCAAGGGAAATGCAACGATTTTTCTGCCGAAGCTACATTATGCACTGATAAGACTCATTCACACTATAATTTCTGTTTACATTTTATATGTATATCGAGAAACATAATGCGTGTCTGGTTTTAGAATTAATTTAAGTCGGATATCATACCGTACCGTCCAATCCTCTTTAAAAACAAAGGAAACCGGTACTAACTTAAAATGCATCGCAAGGTTGCGCAAGATAAAAATCAGCAAACGAATGTGAAAACTTAGAACCTTTGGAGAAAGGGAACGAGTGGAAAAACCTAGAGCTCACTAAGCCTTGGCGAAACGCAATCCAATAGGCAAAAGCAACCACGTGGCTTTAATCGGATGTTAATACTCTCAAGTCAGGTCTAGAACATTTCGCCACATTGCACCTCGCTCTACTAAATATATGATTTGTTTTTCAACATAGTACTAGTAGTATACAAGATAACTATCCCTTTCAAAGTTTGAAATCTAATTGAAACTAAATCTTCCTGTTATTAAGATAGCTTGAATTTCTACATTATTATTTTAGAAATAGTTTCGTAAGGCAAAGTTTTGACAATAATAAATTACAAATTGGAAATAAAGTAAAGCTATATCAATATTGTATTAGAACCGATCAGATGTCCCTAAAAATATTAAATATTGTAGATAAATTTATTAACTTTATTAACTCCTAAATCAATAAGCATCTATTCTAAATGATAGAACGCAAGTTACACAAGTTATGTCGATTAGAATCCAAGTCAATGTACACGGTCTATAATTTAATCAGTGAATCACATTATATCAAAGAATGTGAATTCTTTCAAAGCTCGCTGTGTCATCGTCACGAGCGTACGTGAATCATATCAAATCATACATTAGTTAATATCGGATCATACACGTTATAGAAATAAAAGTGTGAAAATATTTTTTATTGTAGCATTTATAGTATAGTATTCTACTAGTTCGTCGACCTAGAATCATGTTACATTAGTGTTATATAATAAAAATGCTCTTCCCTACGTTTTTACTTGCCTTACTTTCTGTCCTAGGAGTTAAGCAGCGTAGCAGTCAATTGTAGTATTATGCACACCAAAATTAATAAAATATTTACTTACGGTACTCTATTTATATATATATATATAACATTGTGTAGGTAAATGTACAAGTACATTCAGTGTAGTTAAAGCTTTAACAGAGGGCAACAGAGATCTCTGAAAAACCTGATACTTTTAAACTGCGATCTCTATAGACTAGTGTGGAAATCATGAGAAGTAGAGAAGGCTTATAATTCGGTAGTGGTTGCGGACTGTCAAGAAGTATAAAAGTGAAGTGATATGTGTAATGTCCAAAAATATATATTTCATTTGATTGCCTCCTTGGTCAAGTGGGCATACTTACAAATGTAACTGCCGGAGTTTTGTAGTACTTTAATACGTCAAATTGAAACCAAAGCACTATAAAATCAAAGTTCCAGCGGTGGAGTTGTTGACTACATTTGTATGAAGTTTGATACAGTAATCGATCTCACATACAATGCGTTGACCACAAATGGAACTTCATTCACTACCGGTGTTTACGCCACTGTCTCGAACGATCAATCGATTTTACATGTTGAGGCGACGCTGTAAAGTCTCACTTGATTGATGGTTTCCGGAACAATGTATGGGGCTTAAATATTGAGATGGATTCGCCAGTGCGTATGAATGAGGTGAAGAATTATTCAGGTGATGGATGAGCTGGGCCGTTCACCTCGGGGTGCGGGTCTTCGACCGGCCGAGTTTCGCACAGCTGATCGGGCCATGCCCGCTACCAGCGTCACTCGCCCTCAGCTCCCTACTTGTATAAATAAATATTTTAAATCACTGTCTTTTAGAATACCGTTATTTGTTATTCCGTAATTTGTGACGGACGTTATTGTTATAAGATGTTTGTCATCCATATTGTAGGCCAGTAATTATTGTGATTTCTAGAAAAACTATTATTCAAAGTTGTAGTGTAGATACCATAACTTCTGTATCTTTATTCATATGAGGTTATCTGAAAAAAAAAACAAATGTGAAAAATTCAGATTACTGACATTTTGGTGTTTTATATCTAACTTCTAAAATTAATAAAAACATGATTCATATTTTTCGGTCTCATTTCCATAAAGTAGCCACATTTTCTGTCGAGAAAAGATCCGTCATTATATTTGCTTTTAAAAAAATCTGTAACGTTATTTTTTTTATTTCAGTGAAATATGTTATAATTTAATTTTCTTTTAAAAAACCGACATGCTACATTTTCGTCAGAACCGCTATTTTTTTACGTGTTGAAAAAATATAAATTGTCATTGCAAATCATCTTGAAAATGTAAATGACTACAACTTTGTAAAAATATTAGTCATTTACTTACACATTATTATAATAATTATATATATACTTACACATTATTGTTTATAAATAGAACATGTTAATATTAATGGAAGACACCTTTCGACTACAAATATTTAATTATTCAAAATGATATGTAATCTTACACAATTATCTTCAGTAGTAATTTAAGAATCAATTTTAATGAAAAAACTCAAACTTTTACGAAGATAAGTAACGATACGATAATGTATATTTTTCCTACACCTTCAGATAATAGAGGCTTTAACAAAATATAAGTAGCATACTGTAGTGGGTTAAAGTGTAAATACAAAAGTTGCATTTTTAGTATTTACAAGTTGAGCTATTATGCTTTTAATCGTGGAAGGATGGTATATTTTTTGTTTTCTGAAAACTCCGATAAACCGTTTTATTTATTTAGAACATCCTTTGCACTAACTAACTCTCACCAATAATTTATTTTTCCTTAATTGTTTTTGGCATATTCTCTTCCCGGTCCAAGTAATAAATTCCATTAATCATCAAGGATTTTAATTCTAATATTATTTTATTGCATTATTGGTCGTTTTGAAGCTATCACTCGACAATTACGTAAACACGAGTTTGAGACTAGTTTAAGACTACTCGACAACAGATGGCGGTATAATGAATGCATGCATGTAGCCGTTAAATATTGTTTTCAATTTTTCTTTTTACCTTCTTAATAGCTTTCATAGCTTATTAAATTGCCTTGTTGTTAATTATATTGAAAAATAATCATCCTTGATGTTGAAAAAACGTAAAATTGAGATCATAATACCATATCTTCATACTGGCAATCATAAACACGTTAGATTTTGCTGTCTTAGAAAACAAATTGAAATTTTGTTAGTTGTCACTCAAAATATCTTGAGACTACTTGATTTTTTTTCTAAATTGCAGTACAATTCAGTTAAACACAAAAAATATATGTGTTGATGTCTTTGTTCGTTAATTTTACTGTGCAATTGTAATTAAAATGGTTGAACATAAACATGGCTCCGAAACGCACGATGAAAAGCTTCGACGTCGCCTGCAGGTGGTGTATGCGCGTCAAACTCGTGAAAAACAAATATTCATGGAAGAGTTAAAGGAATATCGGAGAATCAAAGATAAACAAATGCTGCAGAGCGTTGTAGTTGCAGTTGGACCTCGATGGTATCAAGCTTTAAGTGTGCCTCAGAGAGTAGCGTTGGACTCTCTGAAAGATTCCATTTACCAAGATATATTGGAAGGCCGTCCCAACCGGTCATCTGTTGTTATGCATAAGCTCGGATTGTTCCCTCGTCCGAGTACCACAGAACTTATGAATTGTCTTTATGCAGGTCGTAACGACCCAAAAGAAATGTTGGCGCAATTATATCTGTCAACATATGGTTATCCTATCGAGGGAAAACGTACTTCGTATTGTTTGAATGCTAGACTTATGTTGTCCGCCATTTTTTATTTGGGACTGGATAACTTGTTAGTTTTACTTCAGAAAACGTTTGCGCCAGATGAAACTATATCGGAACCTCCACCTAAACCAAAACCAAAGCCAAAGGCTCCGCTTCCATCTCCATATCTAGCAAAAATGGTTGCGACGTTATATTTGCCTCCACAAATCCGTCGTAAATCGCCTTTGCCTTTGCCAGATCTAAGTGAACTCAATGAGCCATATGAAGAGGAGCCCGTAATGCCGAAACCTCCTCCACCGCCACCTCCACCGCCGCCACCGAAAAAGAGATTACCAAAGTCGTACTGCGATCAACTAGCAGGGATCGGTGACGTAACGACTCACGTTTCAACTGCCACGAATTTGGGTAACGCGCCAAAAAAATATCCACGAAATACATTACGGAAATTGAGATCAAAACCAAGTCTTTTGGACACTGCTAGTAAAATAAAAGCATTTACATTAGAAACTAACCAGACTCCGAAAAAAAAGTTTCGGCGAAAAAAACCAGTGGCTCCAACGACTGGCTTGAATAATGTTCAATATATGATTAACGGAGTATATCGAGTTCATGGTAAGACAGTCTATGTTTTGGGCAGTGTTACACTTTTGCCTGCAGAAGGTGATCTTATCCACGGAGGATTCAGTGTTGTTAATGGAGAATATATTACAATACATTGTGGTTTTCGTGGACGGCCGCCAGCGAGAAAATCTGCCCCTTGCGATTGTGTTAAAAAGTGGAATGATACAGTTTTTCAATATATTAAAGATCATAAATGCTACTGTGGTCATTTTTACGATTATAGAAATGAAGACGCCTTCCCTTCAGATCAACTTCCTTATTTTGACAAACCTACTCGCCATTCTCCATTACGTTTTAACTATCAAAGAATATACGATTTAGATGATAAAAGATTATACATAGAAAAGGAATTTCAGAAGGTTTGGGAAACAGATAGTATGTTACATGTGAACGATGGAACAACTCCTGCAATAACTGATAAGAAGAAGAAAAAGAAAAAGTATTCTGATAATATTCCCAAAAAGTCTACGGACACAGATGTTGCAAACACCGATGATGATTCAAGTAAATCAAAATTAGACAAATCTACCAAGAAACGGAAAGACGCATCTGGTGATGATGAACATAAACTGAGAACAAAGAGTAGAATATATAAAACAGATGCAATCCAAAGGAGAATGTCAATAGCAGAAGCAAAGAAAGAGTCCAAGATGGATGCAGAAACTCTGAAAAAACGTAGATTATCTCAAAGAATAGCTTCAAAGAAAACTTTAGCTTCAGATAGCGGCACTAGTAAAAGGAATAGAAGCAAATCGGCTAATTGGAAAGCCTCAGGTACTTGTTTAGGACTGAATCCAAAGCCTCAGGACTACCTGAAATGCGCACTACGACACATGCGGCAAATCAATGTTGCAGCGCGGCTGCCTGATTTACATTTAGTTCCCGAACTCAAAGAATGGATGAGACGAAGACTGTACGGGAGTCTTACAGTGGAAGAGAAAAAGGAATACCTACGTAAGAGTACCACGTATTGGCGAATGTTCACAACGCTCAGCGGAAAAGGGTTTGGGCATGTAGCAACACCTAAAGAACCTATGTATCTGGGTCACACTACTTGGTACCACAAACAAACTCTAAATGATAATTTCAAACATTTCACACACAGGTACAAGCTGTCCATGTTCAGATCACATGCTTACGTCACTAACTTACTATGGAGAACTATGTATCAAGCTGAATTTCCTGACAAGAATTTTCGAGAAATATACTTTTCATATTTGTATGGTAGACTAGAAGATTTACAACTGATACATCCCTATTGTGCGAGGGAATCGGAAGAAAGAAAATTAATAATTGCGAGAAAGCGATATATTTGTTTACCAGCCGGGTACGAACCGAAAAATTCGTGATTACATTTTTTTACATGTAATGTTCAGTTGTTCTGTTCTTTAATAACAATGATCTGTTAAAGATATATTATTTTTTGGCTTTTAATTTTCTTTATCGGGGAGCGAATTGTAGAAAGAGATTAAAAGGCAGGTTTTCAAACACGGGATATGTATTCGAAAACTTTCAAGTAGCAAAGTATACAACTGTGCGGTATATGGCAATAATTATGGAGCAAACTAACTAGTTTGCCATCAAAAACGGCACCAGGAGCAAACTAGTTAGTTTGCTCCTGGTGCCGTTTTTGATGGTAGCCGGAAGTTTTCTAGCCTTCCTCGATGTCGCGGAGAACCTAACGGGTAACCGGGGCTCCGGCTCGACGTGCAGGAGAAGGAACGGGGTGGTTTTTAGTCAGTAAGAGTCTTACACTCCCTCCCGCCTCACCCAGGCGGGGGCAGTCATTCGATGATTTTCCCCCCTTAAAAAAAAAAAAAAAAAAAGCCTTCCTCGATAAATGTACTATTGGACTATCCAACACAAAAAGAATGACTTATTCAATTCGAATAGTAGTTCCGGAGATTAGCGCGTTAAAAACTTCTCAGTTTTATAATATCAGATGGAAAAGGAATAATAAAATGACTGGTGAAAAGTGGCAGTTACATTGAATGTACATAGAGTGTACATAGACGTTCTTATAATATGTAGAGGTACATACATAAGGCGTGTACACCTCTACGTACCCCAAGGAACAAAGTGCAGACACTATGTAACATCAGGATGTTACCTATATTATGTTATTTAAAAGTTATACTGCAAAATCAGAACGGTAAAGGAAAACGTCTTAACTGGACCCGAGCCCCTTACTTTCAGAAAAGGTCATTGACCTTCTCCTCCTTGATTCGATTTCCTTAGTGCTGAATGTGGTGGCCACCCTCATGCATCATCTTCTCACGTATGATTTTTCTCGATGATTTTTTCCTTCCTGTCTCAGAGGCGGTGTAGAGTGTGTTGTGGATAATGGAACCCAGTGTGGTGCCGACATCGGGCCAACATATCAGACTACGACCACGAGGCCTTATTGTTTACAAAATGGTTACTTTGTGATTGCACATAACTTAGCGAAGCAAGGAAACGTTGATATTGATGTAATGAAACTAAAGTATACGTAATTCATAATTTAATGTGATAATTTATATACCAGTGTAGGTATATTTAATTCAAGTTATGGCTTAAATTACATTTTCGCTGTAACTACATAGGTATGTTGCACAATACGTCATAAGTCGTGGTTTGAAACTTACTTTTACATCTCGATACAGACTTACAATTTTAAGTATTAGGTTGTTTAACATTTTATTAATCCCATAATAGTTATAATACTCCAAAGGTATTAAAAATAAATTTTGATTTCATACCACATTAAACTTATCGTATCTCTTAAGAATATTATGATACAAGTCTTATATTATAATTATAAAATCTATAACTTTTTATTTAAAATACAACACTAAGACTTGATTGCAGTGGGTTCGATATGACCACTGCAACTAGTCTAAGGGATATTCAATCGTCTTTGGTATCATTGTTACAGAAATCAAACATGTCGACACATGGAGCGAACGTTACATCGAATTTATGAAAATACTGATATTTATAGAAAATTAATGTCATTTAAAGCATATTTCAATAAAACTAAAGAAACAATGTAACAAAAATGTTAAATGGCAAAACAATTATTGCGATACACGAGTTACAAAACAATACTAACCATTATGTTATAACAAATATTTACTCCGCAATGAGTTTATTCATATTGCAACTAACGAAGATATACAACGACGAACACTTTCTAATAATATAGGTAAACTGCGTGCAAAACTTGTTAATTGTGCCTTTATTGTATGAAACTTTTAAATAAGCAAAGTAGACATCGCACGGCACTACTAACGGGCCGTTGTACAATTTTGTGCGTAAAATATGAGAACGAGAATAATTTATTTAAAAATTGGTACATAGCAGAACGCGCATACAATCAATCATACTGTAATTTCACAAACTATTTTGCACTCATTTATACAAAACTGCTAAAGAAGCCAGACCATGCATTCCATCATAGCACTGAGTAACTTAATTTCCAAATATGTTACAAAAGTAATGTTCCTCCATTAAAATCAAATGCACCAACATCGTATGCCACTAGTTGTCCAATGAAAACAGAGATCAAAATAACAGCATACCTAAATTAAAAACAGTATTCCTGATGTGGTACTATTGAAATTGATAAAATGCTATGGTACAGACATAGATAAAGGTGGATCCAAATTTTAAATAATATCATTGTTAATACCAGTACTTCTTAGGATAAATCTTATACCTAATTATTATCAAGGTGTTATCAGCTCTCTCAATACATTCTCATTTAAAATGAACAGATTATTATGAATCTACGTGAAAGAATATCTATATTATATTTTTCTTTCAGTTAAAGTTCAAACTCAGTCAGCAGGTACTTAATGATGGTAAACTCTCCTTGAGTGGAGTTGTGGTATCTACCTGTATCTATATCTGTGCAATGAGTTTATATTTGCAGCTCTTGGTGCGTGTGCTGTGAGTGCGGCGCGGGGTGCGCGGCGGCGGCGAGCGGCGCGTGCGGCGCGTGCGGCGCGTGCGGCGCGTGCGGCGCGTGCGGCGCGTGCGGCGCGTGCGGCGGGTGCGGCGCGCGCTGCTGCAGGTGTACGAGCGCGGACAGCAGGCGCGTGTTGGCCTCGTCCAGCGCCGCGATGCGATGCTCCTGCGCCTCGATCACGCGCTGCTTGTGTGACAACGCCGCGGCCATCTTGCGCTGTTCTCGTCTCAGTTCTTCCTCCACGCAGATCAACCTGATAGTTTTAGTTAATGTTTTAGTGCCATAGATAATGTTTTATGTCTTTAGTCTTTATAATATAATATAACGGTAATAAAATTTCTAAAACGTTTTCAATTAGCACCTTGAGATGATGGCCTTCATTTTAGCATCCGTATGATCTTGTCCCGGTTCGGCTGGTCCCAACCTCCCGCGAAGAAGTTCCACAGAACATTTTAACCGTTCGATTTCACGTTCGTACTGAAAAAAGAATGGAAATGTTTATGATTTCTTTTTGTCTGAAAATGGCAAGATATTAGAAAAAGAGTAAATGTTAAACGGTTTAAACTGTCAAACACCAAGCGGTCACCGGTGACCGCAACCTATTGTTCTACAATTGTGTCTACAATGACGAAACTTGACGAGTTAAAAATATTAAACAAAGTAGCTAATCACAAAGTTTACCTGTTCGATGGTCCTCTGATGTTTAGAAGCTCGTCGTCGACCTGTAGTACTGTAGAGCGTGTCTTCCATCTCATCGGAGCTGTCGGTGAGGTCTCGCGCGGAGTCCAGGCTGAGCCTCCTGTGCAGCTTATCAGCGGGTGCGCGCTCGCTGGCCTCACTCGACTGGGACTCGCGACCGAACACCACCCTCGATGGAGACTCTCGTCTTTCACCTCGAACTCCGTAGTATTCTTGGTGCCTTTCTAAATCTTCGTTCAGTCGGCTACTCGACATTTTTGCACCAGAATAGGTCCGATCCAGCGGATAGTTAGTCTCTGGTATTGCACTTTCAGTCATCGAGTACTTTTCTGGAGAATTTTTGGAGTTCTCCATGTTGTAGAGTGCCTTTTGACTGCGTGAAATCTGTAACCTGTACATTTCTTTGTTGACTTCCTCTACGTTCGAGTCGGACCTGCTCATGGGGTAGCCGGAATCGGTTGAGATGTGGTGAGGCTTGCTTTCATACAGCGATTCTCCTCTTTGTCCAAAGTGTTTGAAGTTTACAGGATTTTGGTTTTGGTTTGTGGAGTAAGAGAGCATAGGATTTGTTCTGGGCATTCGCGTCTTACTACTCTTCCGTAGACTAGGCGAATTGCTTGACGATTCGTCGTCACGTATTCTTGGGGAGTGACTATGGTTGCTCCTCTGATACATATCATCATAATTACAGTTATCTCTGGTGAGTTTTCGGTGGGAATTGTTGCGATTCTGTTGGTCATAGTTTCTACTATCCTCGTTGAAGTTAGTAGAACCCTCTTCAGAGTTTGTCTCGACGTTGTCTGTGCTCAAACCCTCCTCATCTATCGATGAACTGGATGAACCACAAGGACAACGTTTTGAATTTCTGTTTTCATTGTTCTTTTTCTCTTGCGCCTGACGATTGTCATCCATGTTGTACACTGGATTCGTGAACACTAGCGGAGCTACCTTTGGATTTGTGTTGGTGTTTGATGGTGTGTTATCCGCAGTTGTGAAGTTTTGGATTCCATACTTTTGGATGTCATAGTCAATTTTTTGTTGCACTGGGCTCTTTGGATAGAACTTTTCATTTTTACTGTCATAATACTGTTTGTCTCTTTGCTTCTGGTAATTCATTTGTGAGTATCGACTCATTGGCTGTCCACCATTCTCATATGGCTGATGATGGTGCGTCGTGTTTTCAATGGGACTTGAACTTTGACTGTACGTAGCAATACTTTGGTAACCGGAACTCGCTACGTTTGATAAACCACTAATGGAAACGTTGGAGCCATTGTTTGTGTAATTAGCTTTGTTCCCATTCACAATGTTGTTGTTATTTGAAATAGATTGAGACAAGTTCTTTTTGTTCATAATGAGTTTGTCTTCAACTATTTCAGAGTCATCAGCATATTTCAAAAGATCAGACAGTTCTTCTAGTGTAGCAGTTTCCTTCATGATGTTCTGCATATCATTGGAGCAGTAATTATGGTTGATACTGTCGCTGCTTGGTGACCTCTCTGTGCTATTGTAGTTAGAATTGTGAAAGTGGGTTTGCTGGTTATTGTAGTTGTTGTTGGGCTTGTATCGATCCTGGAACCTGCGCTCTAAGCTTTCACCGACGCCATTACTGATGCCTTTAGGATACTGGTCGGATCCAAAGCCAATTTGTACAACCTTCAGATTGACGCAATGTTCTTGATTGTTGTATTGCGAACT